CAATGAGATTTTTACCTTGTTGTGGGGGAACTAAGTGCCAGGTGTTGTTTTTCAGAAGTGCCTTGTATTCTTCATCCATAGCTTGTTTCCAACGTGTGTCACCAAGCGCCTCATGCAAAGACTGTGGTTCACCTATGGAACATGACAGACCATACTTGAGAATTTTTTTATAATTCACAGGTTGAGTTACCCCTCTTTGGAGACGTGTCCGAGGTGGTGTAGCAGGCGTTGTAGTAGCAGTAATCGCAGAAGATCCGGGAGAATCCGCAGCAGATCCCCCTGGTGATCCCGAGGCTGGTGAGGAAGCAGGTGCCTCTGGATCAGGATTTTCTGCGGCTGAAGGACGTGACGGAGCGGCACGGTGAAGCACAGAAGATCTGGGCATCGCGGCATCCCAAGGAGCAGAAGGGGTGGCGCCAGATTCCGGACCAGGTGGGCGCGTCAGGGCCACATCGCCTGCAGCGGTCGGCTCATGGGAGCACGCGCTGGTCGGTTTGTGCGGACGCCGCGCATAGCAGCGGACGGAGTCGGGGAAGCGACTTGGAGACCGCCAAGTGGCAGATGGTGATTGGTGCGGGTCGGAGGAGGGCTCCGGGTTGGTGGAGACGCGCCGCGTGACCGAGCTGGAGCGGTCGGTGCGATCGCTGTCAGGCAGATCGCTGGTGCCTGCAGCCCGCACGTGTGCAGACGGGGTGGATCCCGAAGGGGATAGCCTGGCGTCCTGACGATGAGCGGATCCCAAAGCAGATTTGTCCCCCAAGTCCCTGCACATGAAATATCGCCCTATTTGGGCTATTTCTTCATTATTTTCAAATCTGTTTGCTGCATCGCCTTCGCTGTGCTGGTCTACATCATCACACAATTCAGCCAAGGTATTAGGAGGATTAGTCATGTGATCATTGCAGTTGTGTTCCCCATGATTGCCAACAAGACTCGGAGGTAGAAGAAGGATTTCTTTGCGAAGAAGTGCACCGGCATTGGGGTATAGATCAGCGAAAGGAAATTTAGTTTCATCAAAAACAACGTCACGGGATATGTAGACGCGTCCAGTAGGAACATCAAGGCATTTTACACCCTTGTGTTGGGGACTATAGCCTAAGAAAACACATTGTGTTGAGCGAAACATAAGTTTACGTTGATTGTATGGCCTAAGATTTGGCTAGCATGCGCAACCAAAGACACGAAGCGATGTGTAGTCTGGTTTGGTATGGAGGAGTCGTTCAACTGGAGTTTCATTGTTGATGACTTTACTAGGCAGCATGTTAATGATGTGAACAGCGGCTAGAAAAGCTTCGTCCCAAAATTTAAGGGGCATGGATGCGCCAGCTAAGAGGGCAAGGCCAACCTCAACAATGTGTCTGTGTTTGCGTTCAGCAGACCCATTCTGTTGATGAGCATGAGGGCATGACACTTGGTGAGAGACACCGAGAGTTTGGAAAAAGGAGTTTAATTTTTCGTATTCCCCTCCCCAATCAGATTGGACAGCAATAATTTTGCTATCGAACTTTTGTTCAACGAGAGCTTGGAAGTTTTGAAACACTTGAAACACATCGGATCGTTTCTTAAGAAGATAGATCCAGGAGTACTTGTTATAGTTATCGATGAAACTAACATAGTATGTGTGTCTACCAACTGAACTGGGGGCAGGCCCCCATACATCAGAGAAAATGAGTTGCAAAGGTTTGGTAGAAATACTAGTAGAAATTGGATAGGGTAGCTGATGACTTTTAGCTCTTTGACAGGAATCACAAATGGTTTCAATATCACGCTCTCCAACATATGGGAGCTTATTCTTCCTAAGCAATCGTTCAACTAAAGAAAAAGATGCATGCCCTAGTCTATCGTGCCACCTCATCACTGAGAGTTTGGTGACACTATATGCTTGCTTATTGAATCTTCTAAACTCCGGAATCAACAGGTAAAGCCCTCGAACGCATCTACCTCGGTAGAGAACCTTCTTCATTGCCTGATCCTTGATCAAAAATAAAAAGGGGTGAAACTCGAGGAATACATGATTATGAATGGCAATTCGATGGACGGAAAGAAGGTTTTTAGATGCACTAGGGACATGTAGTATTTTTCTGAGGTGAATTGGACGATAAGGGGTTTTAACAACTGAATGACCAACATGTTTGATCCTCATACCTGCTCCACTGGCTGTGTGGATCTGGTCTTGACCACGGTATTTCTCCCACATGGTTACTTTCTCCAACTCACCAGTGATGTGGTTTGTAGCACCACTATCCATGTACCAATTGGTATCTACACCGTATGAAGCTTCGGCAGCACCAGCAACTTTTTCGTCCTGGGAGGAGTCACCTTCATCTTCCTCGAACCTGTACCAGCAGTCTTTGGCGGAGTGGCCAAGCTTACCGCATATCTGACAGCGGACAGCATCGGGACGATTCTTGGAGGAGGAACGGAGGCCCCTGTTGTTGTTGGAGGAGGGCCGTCCGCCGGCACCAGTGCGAGGGGCACCGCCACCGTTGTTGTCGCTGTAGTTTCCGCCGCCGCTACCCTTGCCCTTGCCGCGCGGCGGACCACGGTAGCGGGAGCCACCACGACCACCACGAACAGCAGCGTTGGCGGAGGACTTGAAGCTGCTGCCGTTGCTGCCTTGGAACATCGCCACGCGTTGATCAAAGTTGCTCGTCTGAGCGAACAGATCATCGAGCATGACAGGGTCGGTGCGGGAGTCGAGGGCCGACACCAATGGCTGGTACTCCATACCCAGCCCGGCGATGATGTAGGAGATCTGTTCGTCCTCATCTAGAGGCTTGCCAGCAGCTGCTAGCTCGTCGGCGAGGCCACGCATATAGGCGAAGTAGGCGCCCACCGTCTGTGTGCCCTTCTCTGCGTTGGAGAGGGCGACACGGATGTTGTTCACGCGCGATCTGGACTGGGACGAGAACATGTTCGCCACCGCAGCCCAGAGCTCGTGCGCCTTGTGGATGTTGGTCACCTGGACAAGAACTTCTCTGGAAAGATTAACCAGCAAATATGCCAATACCCGCTGATCTTCCCACATCCATACATGATGAAGAGGGTTCGGCGAGGCTGATTCCTTGCCGTCTTTGTCCTTGGTGATGATGAACTTCTCTGGTTCTTTGATCGTCCCTTCGACATAGCCGAAGACACCAGCCCCGATCAGCTGTGGCGTGACCTGTGCCCGCCAGAGGACGTAATTCGTCCGGGTCAGCTTCTCTGTAACCTGACCATTGAGGCCGGCCAGAGGAGCGCTGGTGGAGGAGGAGGACATGGCGAGCTCGTGGGTGGAAGAACGATGGATGCTAGATGTATAGGAAGAGGGAGGCTCTGATACCATGTGAAGATTGGCTTAAGCGTCTTACCTCGTTGGAGGGACGCGCTGCGTGTTTATATAACAGGGGCGCACCTCCCTGGATAGCGCATACAATCGGTTTGGATTACAACTTGTGAACCAAGGAAGGAGAGGGAGAGATAAGGCTACGGTTACAGGAGGATAGATCGATCCTAACAACCTAGCCGGTGCTATATGCTACGTTACAATATGTCACGTTACAATATGTTTAACACAGCTTAGTTCGAAGGTGTGCCGCATGTTGGCTTGAGTCGGTTCAGAGAAGAGCTCTCCGTGCTACTTGGGTTGAATTTTTTTGGTTGTTGCAGGGGCGTTTTGGGAGGAATCTCTGTCAGATTTTAATCCTTCGTCCATATAGCACACAGTACTAAAGTGGAGGATTATGTGCAGAAATTTCCTGAATTATATGATCAACTTCAGCATATGAAATAGCTCACGATCCAGTGCATTATGTGATTAATTTCCAGGATGGTTTAGAACCTTCAGTTTGAATGTCTGTTGCAATGCAGAAACATCAGAACTTAGACTCTACTTAGGAGCTTTGTTGCATGAGGAAATTGGAGAAATGTGTTCCGATACAACCCAACATGTTCAGAGGAGATATGTTCCACTTCCTAGAACCCAAATAGTTTTGAAGATAAACGTGCATCTGAAGTTATTCGGCCTCAAACTACTGAAGACAAGTGAACTTCTCTCAGAGCATATAAGAAATCCAAGGAATTTTGTTTTATTTGTGGTGTGAAGTGGTCCGGAGATCATTAGTGCAAAAACTAGTTCCATTGCGTTTTGTGCACGAGCTAGTAGAGCAATTGGATTCTAGCAGTGTTTCAAAATGTCCAAATACTGAACAAGTGCAGGATCATGTTATGTACACTTCTGCTGGTGCTTTGGGTACTGAAATTCTGTTCACACCGAGCAGTTGGAAGTTGAGTTACAGAGCAAACAATTATTGTTTCTCATTGATTCATGCAGTACACATTCATTTCTGGACGAAGTACTTCAGAAATCATTCGCTGGAGTTTTGCAAATGCAACCCACCACAGTCCAAGTAGCTGGTGGTCCTAGACTTTCCTGTCAGTATCATCAACTGTCTTGTCTATAAATGGCTTTGTTCTGACAGTGAGTTCTGCCGTAATTTCAGGTTTCTGCCTCCAGGAGTTTATGATGGGATTTTAGGTCTGGGTTGGCTTTGTTTGAACAGTTCTATGCAAGTGGACTGGACTCAAAAGTGACTTTCCTTTCTACATCAAGGGAAATTGTTTTACAAGGATTACTACCTTAGGAAACAACTTACTCCCTCCAATCCATATTAATTGACGCTGCTCTAGTACAACTTTGTACTAGAGCAGCGTCAATTAATATGGATCGGAGAGGGTAAGTTGTCTTCTCCTTTCTGCTATAATTACCAATTGAACTAGTAGATATATAAATCACCTAAGTACAAAGAGTTTTGGATGAATTAGTTGTGTCTGTTAAGTCTATCTGTTCTGCTATGTTTAGATCTAGTATTGGCCTCTGTGAACGTTTTTTTTTTCCTTCTAAACACAAAGAAGAATGAAGTAGTCGGTACTTTGTGATATAAGCAACAAATAAATAAATACAGTAATACACTTTCAAAATGGAACAACAAAATCACTCATTCGCAACAACAAAAAATCACTCAACATCTACAAATGTGAGTACACGGGAAACTGCCCCCTCTTCTACAGCGCACCATACAAGCATGGATAGCAGGTAGCCATGGAAGCTCACATGGATAAGACACACTTGGAGAACCCTGAGTCTTGGTTTTGTATCTCGTCACCTCCATTGTCTCAAGATCGACTGAGAATTGCCATGTCTGGTCTGCCGGTGAAAGCACGATAGACATCGTGCTGGCCGTGACAATCTTCATAGGCACCCGGAAATACTCATCCTTGTGCCCTTCCAGCCCACGACTGGCCTCCATCAACTCAAGGCTCTCCTCAAGGTCCCAGTCGCCATCATTATACGCAAAGACGTGGAGGCTGCTGCCCTGCAAACAAACAAGGCACGCCTCGCCGTCATCGTTGCGGAAGGCTCGGGAAGGCAGCCCTTGGATGTGGTCCGGCAATGGAAGGACTTCAAACGCGTTTCTCCAATGGAAATTGTAGGCTAGCAGGGATGAGACATCGTCCTTCAGGGCCCAGAACAGAGAGCTGGTGGCACGACCAAGGAAATGCAGGGGCTCTGTAGTGCCATCTTGGCGGATTCGGGGCTCGTCCATGGGCCGGTGCCTGACGTACCATCCAGGCCTCCCCCTATAGCTCCGTTCGAACACGAAGGGGTTCATCACGCTAATCTTATCAGATATTCTGGTGTATTCACGGTGGAGAACACAGATCACCTTGAACTTCAACATGACATCAATGGTGTGGCCTCTCCTCGTGGTAGCTCCTCTGCTATGGCAGCCGTGGAGGAATACAGTGAGGCAGCGCTCGTATTTCATGTGCTCCATGCGCGGGATTAGCCTGTAGCGCTGCGTGACCGGCTCGCAGACGAGGAGGTCCGGCAAGCAGTGGCGTCTCCACCCGGTTTTCCTCTTGGCGAGGAGGAGGAGGCTGTGGCAGCTGTCGATGATCTCCCATGAGGTGCCGCCCCCTGCGGGGAGGAAGTCGAGGGAGAAGTGGTGGCTACCGACAGCAAGCGCCGGCGAAGAGGGAACAAAGACGAGGCGACGGCCGTCGACAGGGGACGCGTGGTTATGGTAGTGGCCTGCAACAACGGATGAGGGGTCGCGGTTGGAAATGTTACATAGGAACCTTCTGTCGACGATGATGCGGCGCCACCGCTTGCATGTGGCGGCGGCGTGGATGAGCCAGAGCGGCGAGCTCAAGTGAAGGAGGATGAGCTCGAGGAGCTTGTCGGGGACCTCATGCAGCGTTGTTGGCCCCGGCGGCGACCTCTTGCGCACCATGGCCATGCCATCCAGAGACCTCCTGTCTTTCTTGTTCGCCATGACACTCGATCTGGGATCAGGAGCTTCTTCTGTTGGAAGAGAGGTGGGTCTTCCGTGTGCTAATGGTGTTGTACTTGTATATGGTGGTGAGCTTAGTTTTGTATGTTTATTATGACATGCTGGCTGATGTGGCGTGCCCTCCAAGTAGTGTAGTTGCACAACTGCTCAATTAGTTTATTCTAGTCAACGCGTTTGATGCGTAAGATATGTGAGTTATACGTGTAATTATGCTTATTAGTTTTAGGGCGTCAAACAAACACGAATAACACGGTGCGACCATGTATTTATACGAATTTGATAAGGGCCGTGCTACACGTTGGCCATTGCATCTGGCACAATCTAGCTGCTCAATTAGTTCTCTACTTTTGTAAGAAAAGTCATATCGCAGAAGTATTTGTAACAGTAGTTGTATTGCGAAAAACCTTTGCATCATATGCCATGTTGCAGAAAAAATTGATCTTCACTTTCTTGCAACATAAGTGATGTTGCGGAAAAATCTTTGCAACATATGCAATGTTGCAGATTTTTTTATCTTCACTTTATTTGCAACATAAGTGATGTTGCGGAAAAACTTTTGCAACATAGGTATTGTTGCAGAAAAAATTGCAATGAAGATGATGTGCATAAACATCGTTGTTGTTGCCAATGCATGTCGTAGGAGCATGTTGTCGCTCGTCGTCGTCATTTGCAACTCCGCCATTGCAATTGCAATAGGGAGGCAGCCGGTGATGCTCGGGGATGACGCAAAAGAGGTCGGCGATGCCACGACTGCCCAACATGCATCGATCGGTGGTGGCAGCGGCGCCCTCGCTCGACCTTGTCTATGGCTGGCTAGCAGACACTGATCAACAATGACGGTGGCGGCACGTTCGATAAGGCGTCGGCTTGACTGGGAGCTCAGACAAACCACATGTGGCAACTTCTCTCGAGGGGATCAAATCCATATCCCACAACACACCAGTTATTGTGGTGGGCATGATACGTTGCAGGAAGATGCTATGTGGCCCAAACAACAGTCAGTGCTCTTCATGCCACACAATCACGGACCACTCGAACACGGAGGCGGTCGATGTGTGAGAGTTATCCACCGACTAAACCAAAGCTTTTTCCATTTGATAAATCTCATCTAGATAATATTTGACTATATGTTAGGATTAAACTAGCTGTAAGATTTATGCAACTACCTCACGGGCCGCACTCCTGCACAGTTGCATTGCGTTGTCTTTTCCTGTGACATGCTCGATGACGGAAATAACATCCATTTCATCGAAATCACTAATTAAGCACTACTTTTTTCTAAGGGTCACTCTCATCTTCTCAGATTGTGGCAAGTGGTGCACTGCATGTGCGTCACTTGTCGCAACTTGGGGAGTTTTTTTTTCTTCCGTTGATTCGTTTATTCAAAACGTTTTTAACCATGTATCTAAATCCCAAACCGTTTTGACCGTTCGATTCCTCGCGTCGAGATCTTCAAAACTTAATTTCATGTTGATAGGTTTCGACGTATTTTCTTTCATGAAAAGACCAAACTGAGAGCATGTTGTGTGTGCACCCGTGGGCTATTGCTCCCTTTCCCCTAAAAAAACTAGTTGCTCCCTTTTTGTACGTGCACTTTTTGGTGCACCGGGTTGTGTGTGTGCACCCGTGGGCTATTGTTGTTTAGAATGGGGAGGCAAGGTTCTTTTTTACATACTCACTAGAACATAAAGGCGCGCGTTGCCGCGCCCGTGCATTTTATTGGAAGAACAATACAAATATATGAGAAAATATGGACATAACAGAAAGAGAGAGAAAATACATTAGTCCAATACTTCAACATAAATGATTGAGCATTATTGAACCTTTCGCAAGCGAACAAGGCACAAAGGAATGTTTTGGGAGGATGGACTGATCTGATGCGTTCATACACTGAATCAGATCCGCAAGTGATGAAAGGTACTATGTTGATTATGTTTGTGCTTTTCAATAAACAGTCAAAGATGACCCACACACAAACATAATATATAGACACAAGGTAACGGTATAAAAAGGATGAACACATAAACTGTCGTTCACTTAATTTCTTTAGCATATCACATATAATCAGCGGGAAGAAATTGTTTAAAGTAACATTCGAAATAAGCGTCAAGGACGCAACCTCTTTTCTTTTCTTTTGAAAATAAGAAGAGAGAGACTTCTACCTTGTATATTCAAAACAGACCAATGGTCAGGAATACAAACCACCGAAGTTTTTCTCCTCACTAAACATAAAAGCTTCAACAGAAAAGAACAAATCAAAGGCAATACATAAAGTGTTTGGAACAATGAAGCGTGTAATATACAGAGATATGGATGTGTAGTGAAAAGTCTCAATTATCTCTATTATAGACATGAATATTACATAGAAGGCAACATGGTAAAGAAAAAAGGTAAATAATGAAGTGTATTATAGCTCCTGTAATCTCTCTTTTTGTCCGACAAGTTATAAATAGTTGAGGAGTAGCAAGGGGGAAACCATATATCTTTAGTTGGGAATAGCACCAAACAAAAGGAAGTTATGTAAAGCTGGATTGTATTAAAACACCACTCATCTCATGGAAACAAACATCATATGGAGTCCATCATAATTAGCTTCAGTTCATCAAAGTGATCTAATAAACCTGGTAACTGCAGAAAATTGCCACCTGCGATTACAATAGTATGGTCAAACTTTTTGGTAGGGCACAAAAGATAATTATCACATCAAATTCTTGGCAGTATACTTCGCTTTGGAAGGCCGTGTGGACTATAGCATGTATTGAGCTCTACTTTCTACCACAAGAAGCTTAGACAGTGGAAAACCATTAGGGCAAGTTACTTACCGTGATAAATTATCCATGAGATGTCCATATATTTTTTTAAAGTTGTACGCTCTCCATGTCAACCTATGGTCTGCTAATATAGAGGAATAAAAGAAGAGATGGAGGATATGAATACAATGAACCTGTTGCTTTGGCTCAAGAAGCAGTAAAGTAGTAGCTTCTTCTTTTTAGACTAATTGATTCTTGGTTTGGTGTTGTATGAGCTTGCTACGTGAAGTTCGTTCTGTAAACTTTTCTTTAAAGATTAATGGAGCTCCTGTCCATTGTTTAAAAACATTTGTTATAAATTTTAGAAATAACATGTGAATGGACAATATCCTCTGAGTATAGTTTAGAAATTTTGAGTCCCTTGTTGTTTATATATCAACATATCTACAAAATAAATCTGGATTTCAGTTTTAGTGAGGAAGTGCAAAATATAGCAAACAATCAGCTCAAACAGTAATTATGAATTTATGATGCTGTTTAAAAAAATAGTCATGTTCATGGTTGCACCATTTGGATATTTGCAAATGTCCTACCATTCAACACAAAAGAGATGGATATATCTTTACGTCATCCTAAGCAAATAAACAGTACCTACAATTTTGTTGACAAAATGCAGTTATATATCAATGTCCTAGCTTGCAACTATAGTTAATTGCAAATGTAACAGTAAGCGGTCTAGATTATGTAGCCTTATATTGTATTGCAGACTTGCAGTAACATCAGTTAAGGGAGCCTTTGGTTCTAGTAGTATATATCCAATCATGAGTTTTATTTCTTTTGCCGCAGATATCCAACAAGATAAAAAAACAGGATTGATGGAATTTGGAGATATTAAACCAGGAAGAATTGATACGAAGAATGGTTATTAAATCATCTAGCCAAACTAATTAAAAATTCCATCTAGCCAACCATATCTGTAACACACACATCGGACAAAGATGGTCACGGATTCTAGACTACTATGGAGGACAAACACTTGATAAACATATTTCAACAGATCAAGCAAAAATTGGTTCTCCGCAAGGAATAATTTAATAACAAGTAGCAGCTTTGTTTTTTGAAACAGAGCAGCAGCTTGCAATCCATGGAAGGCTGGCACACATCAAATCAACCAAGGATCACGGAACTGGAGCTGCGTTCAATATAGTGCTGCTAGGTTTTGGACATCAACTCCTTGCCAATGGAAGGGGCAGTCGCTACTTCCAGCCTGAACGGGGCGCCCCATCTACTCCCTTAATCTCCATTCTTACCTCCTCTTCTATCTTGTTCATCCACACCCTTCCAACATACGAGTAGAACCTAAGGGTTAGGTCGCATGCACCCGTCGTCATCCTATCGGTGAAGTCCTGTCTTTTTCGTTGCGTCCCTTCCGTACGGAGCGGCCATCGCCGCCGCCTGCAGAGAGAGAGAGAGGTGTGTGTGGAAGGGGAGCAAGCGTTCAGGGGTGTCGAAATGAAAACAACAACAAGGGGATACAGAAGAACAGTACCGCACTGGCGCGCATGCTGTCGCGCAGCAAATGCTCGCCCACGGTAGAACGCCGGTGCATCGAGGACGAAGGAAGCCGGCGCATAGAGGAGGAACAAACGGCGGCGGCGGCGAGGAACAGAGAAACTGTTCGCCTGGAGAGGAGGGATAGCGCTGGAACATGTACGACATGGGCCATCCAGCTGGATAGAAGTGGGCCTTCGACGGCCCAAATAAGGAGAGAACTACCAGGTCGTTCTGCGGAGAAGCGGCCCGCGAGACGGTCCGTGCGGCACGGGCGACCTGAGACGACCAGAGTTGATCTGCATCGTAGGTTTGAAGATCCGAGGGTTGAGACAGTCAAATCGCCGTGGAGGCTCTTAGCTAGCTGAGTTATACTGTTTAGTAATTTCGTGAGTTCTTTACCCTCCTGTTCATATAAAAGAGAGAAACTTGTCTCAAAAAGTAAAATAAAAGAGAGAATCTGGCAAGTTAAAAAAAAAGATAATCCGGCAAGTTCAGAAAAAAGAGAGAATCTGGCCATGCAAAAATGCACGTATGAAAGAGGAGTTTTTGTAAGTTGTCAAATGCCCTTTTCTTTTCTGGCTACTTTTATGTAGATGTAGATGTGTTTTTTTATTTGTGTTTGTTTGTTGGTTTTCTGAACACCGTAAAATTAAAGTCGCTCATATACATGAGCATACA